TTTTTAAAGAATTTGGAGTTGTTTCTCTTTTTCTTCTTTAACTATCAAAGTAGAAATAACATTCTGCAATTCTATTTTTATCAAAATTGTCTATTATAATTTAGTAAAAGAATGAAATTGAAGTGTTTTACCACATTTCTTTGATTCTAACAATTGACCACATACTATGAATCCTTTCTTGTATCTAAAAATTTAATAATAAAAATACTCAGAAAATGTTTGAAAATTGTGCACAAATATTCTGCTGATACACATAGACAGCTGCATTTGTGTTGCAACCAGTTTTCATATTGTGCAATGTTGGTTTCAGTACTAACTCAATGTTGTACCCTTTAAATGTTTCACGACTGTTGATGACGCTTCATCAACAGTCAGTAAGGTTCTAACGAGTAAGAGAACTGTAATTTGGTCATTATTACATACCAGGTGTATAAGCTTAAATCCGCTGTATGCTAATAGATGGCGTAAGCGAGCGTATTAAGTTACCATGACGACGCCATATTGTTTTTTTGGTGATTTTGACATCTGTCAACATTAATCAGTGCACATCATCAGATATTTCATACAACAACATATATTTTTTTTTTGTAATCATGTCTACTTTTGTGCCAGAAAAAGAGCATATGCGGCAAGCTTTGCTTTTCTGCTTTAATTTGAAGAAATCAGCTGCCGAAGCACATTGAATGCTTGTGGAGGCTTATGGAGACAGAGCTTTATCGGAAACCACGTGCAGAGATTGGTTTCGTCAGTTCAAAGATGGAAATTTTTACCTGAGCGACAAGAAGCGTGAAAATCGGCCCAGGAAGGTTGAGGACCATCAACTGCAGGCTCTTTTGGATGAGGACGATACCCAATCGCAAAAAATGCTTGCCGAGCAATTGGGTGTTACTCAACCAGCCATTTCCATGCGTCTACGTGCCATGGGAAAGATTCAGAAGATCGGAAAATGGGTGCCGCATGAATTGAACGATAGGCAGATGGAGCGACGCCAAAACACATGCGAAATCTTGCTCGCCAGACAAAAAAGAAAGTCGTTTCTGCATCGGATTGTAACTGGCGATGAGAAATGGATATATTTTGAGAATCCTAAACGCAAGAAATCGTGGGTTGATCCAGGCAAACCATCAACATCTTTCCCAAGACCAAATCGCTTTGGACGGAAGACAATGCTGTGCGTTTGGTGGGATCAGCAGGGTATTGTCTACTATGAGCTGTTGAAACCTGGTGAAACTGTCAATGCTCACCGCTACCACCAACAACTGATCAAATTGCACTGTGCTCTGCGTGAAAAAAGGCCGGATTATCAGCAAAGACACGACAAGCTGATTTTCCTCCACGACAATGCACCATCGCATGTGTCAACATTGGTCCGAAACTACTTGGAGACACTCAACTGGGAGGTGCTACCCCATCCCGCTTATTCACCAGACCTGGCCCCTTCCGACTATCACCTCTTTTCATCGATGGGCCACGCGCTTGCTGAGCGGCACTTCGATTCTTACGAAGACGTCCGAAAATGGCTTGATGAGTGGTTTGCCTCGAAAGAGAAGAAATTTTTTTGGCATGGTATCCACACATTGCCCGAGAGATGGAACAAATGTGTCACTAGTGAGGGAAAGTACTTTGAATAAATTTGTTTTTGCTTTCTAAGAAAAGAACGTGTGTTTTTCTGACTAAAAAACAGCGGATTTAAGCTTATACACCTATGTATATGTATATAAATATATGTACACATACAGTTCATTTTAATGTTCAGATTTTTAAAGTACAGAAATTTGTTAAATGGATAAATTTCTAGTTGATTTATATTTTTTCAAGGCTGAAATGACATTTAGTGTTACTCACATATTTAGATAATTGGTAATTGCCTCCATTAGATTCTTTTCCTTCAATCGTGCTAATTGTATAGCTTTTCAATGTTTTTTTGTTAGCAAAAACTGAATTCTGGCCGAATATAAACCATTGCCTATACTGGGAAAACTTAATTATAAAATGCTTATTAATGTAGAAATTTATCAGATTACACATAAATCGAGAACCTTGCTGTTCCAAAAATGTTATAAAGAGATTTTTTACAATTTGTTTTATAACTTCCAATTATAAAGTATTTCTTGCAAGCAGAAGTTTTGTACAGGTTACCGGATAGATAACAGATGAGCATTAATTTCACGCTTGGTCTTCATTAACAAAATCAACCTGTATATTTTGGAGAATTGGCATACGTACCATTGTATTTTTTATTGTATTTTGTTTGCAATATAGGGCAAGTCCCTGTTTTCTTCTAAGGAAACACAATAGAGGTTGTTTGCATTTACAGTATTTTTCAGTTTAGAAAAAAATTTGCCATATATTAATCTTATAATTGCTTTTATGTTGCTAGTGTGGTTTTAAAAAGTTTGTAGTTATTTATTTAAAAACCACTTACACAAATTAAAATTGTAGTGTACGCTAGCAGTTTTCTGTGCAGAAAATTGAATGACAAATGAAATTGTTGAAATACATTTTTGGTTCTCCTTACAATTAACAGGCTAAAGACAGTGATTACTCGAAACAGTAATCAGAAATAAGTAAAAACAACATGCTCTTTTTTAAAAATCTGTAAAAGATACAGGAGAACTTAGTGCAATTTTTTTTAATCTCAATTTGTTAGTTGTTTCTTCGAATGATATCAGATAATAACAGTGTTACGTTAGTTATTGAACAATGAGTGGAAAGTTGAACAATGGCAAACTTAATTTTCAATTCATATTAAGTTGTAAATTTTTTCTTTTCAATTTAAAATTGAATGATTTTCTGTGCACTAAACTTTTAAGCTTTGTGAGGGCTTGAATTGTCCAAAAAATGTCTTACAATCCAAAGAGAATGAATTTAAATAAGTGTAATGTCTACTTTGTATCACTTTTTTGAAAATTACGGTCAGTCCATGGACTACATGGAAATAAGTTGGATATAAATTGATGAAGTCATAATTTTTGTCTGTTTTTTTTTTTTTTAATATTGGAAAATCTCAATTTAAAAAAAAAAAAAAACAATGTTTGCTACAACCAGTATTATTTTCCAAAATAAATATTTTTGTGCATAAGTTATATGAAATTATTCATTGTTTTAAAGTAATCCTTTATTATTATTGTTATTATTCCATTTAATTCCCAATGATATTTCTTAATAATTTTTTACTGAATATATTCTAAAGAATAATGAGAACGCTATAAATTTATTTTAATGTAAGTGTTTCCGTGCATTTGAGGATTATAAACACAAATCGTTAAATAACGGTATATGTTTGAAGAAGAAATATTACACTATGTAATTACCATAGTATGGACCATCGTTCAGTTGTTAAATATGATTGCAAAGTTAATAATGTTACATAACATAACAATGTTTAATTTGTTACACATTGTTTTACATTAAAATTTGAATTCTTAAGAAAATTTACGTCAAATTGTTTTTCGGACAACCAATTTTTACCGATTATTGAAAATTTTGAATGTTTTTATCTCGAGCAGTATATTATTGGCTGTCAAAGATTGTGTGGACTCTATTCTAATGTAATGTCTAAGAATTAGGCATATTATATATCGAGACACATTTGAAGACTAATCTTTTTGTGTAAGTACTGCGAGACGAGTTGCAAATTTTCCGCAGGTATAAAGGCCAAATGTCGGAGAAACCGTTGCTTTGTCTTTAAGTTATGCCTTTCCCGTGAAAGGCGAGATTTAATCGGATGTAAATTTTCTACCCGAACCCTGTTCTTTTGAAACTGTTTGTATAAAATTAAAAAATTATAGGAATTTTTAATAAATAAAATGGAATGGAGCGTTGTTTTTGATTTGTGATTAAGACTCGGAACATTGATTAATAAATAAACCGTTGGGAAATTTTAGTTTTGTGTGTACTGTCTCGAATGTAAATGTATTTTGCTTAATTTTTTTAATTGAACATTTGACAATTTAAATTTTATTGTCATAATTGTTTAAGATTTGTTTCCGTAATGGATAAAATGCATTCTTAATTGACATTTGTGGGTTTTATGCTATCTTAAAAATGATATCACAATGTAATTTAGTATCTTATTTATATAAATTATGCTTTAAATATAATTTTATAATATGATGAAAACTTTCTTGAGTTTGTGTTATTTTTATATACAGGATGATTTTTAAAGTCTCTGTACAGAAAACGAACCATCCAAAGACATCTACAACACGTGTACGCATAACGTCAGACACGTTAACATAGTATTTTTACATTTTCGGTTATATAATGCCGATATTCTTTGGCTTACAAGCAACTGCTTAATTTGGCGAGCTCTCTGTTTATAAAGACTTTTGAATCTCTGCATATTGTTGGGTTGCATACCTTCTAACAGTTCTTTAATATTGACTTTTTTATACTGTTTTATTACACAGTTAATAAATGAAATGATTGCTTTATTTACATTTATTTTCAAGATAGAAGCAATTAAATTATTATTAGAATTGACTTAAGATGTGATTATGTATGGTATATCAGTGGTCTTTCAATCCAAAGATCTGAGATATTGATTTTATGTAAACAAACATAATGTACAAACATTTTCTTTTGATTCTACCATAAAATGTTGCAAAAATTATGCAGTTAAGAGAAACTTTATCCAGAACTTTGTTTAGAGATAGCATAAAAGGTGCTTCTATTTGTTGTAAATAATGTGTGTCAATACAAATCATCTTTGCTTTTAATGTTTTGGTATATAATATCATAATAAATTTAATGTGACCTATAGGATTTTGTTGCAGAAACTTGATTTAGATAATTGGCAATTGAATTGAGCTTTTCTTGAATTTAAGTCGTTTATGTTAGTATGTACCTAACTGTGGTGCAATTTTGTCTTTGGTTTCGATCAGAGACCGAGATCTTCCGCCGGATGTTGCAACCTTGGTTTCAATGGATGATTTTTAAGAAATATAATTGAATAAATTATTAAAGTATTCTGAATGTGTTGTATTTTTTAATTGCAGCATTCTACAGATTTAATTACAACAGAAAATGAATGGTTATGGTGGATCATTATGGCTTTTGGTGAGTACTTTATTATACTATATGAAGTTGAATATGACGTAGAGACTTAACAGAACGATTTTTATCCATTTAGGAGTTTTAATCTGTGCCCGTGCTTGTCTTCAGTACATTCACGCCAAAAGAGAGTGGCGATTGCTCAACCCCATTCACAGAGAGAGATTGTTTTTCTTTTACTAACTACTAAATAAAAAAATTCCGAGCGTGACGTGGTGAGCGTATTGCAAAATTTTATCGGATACGGCACAATTTATTTGGAAATTCCAATATATATGTACGTTCGAGGCGCCTCGAACCGGTATCGTCGTCTGTGGTCGTACATTGTATATACAGACTCGCTAACGTGCATGCATAAATTCATTTATTTAGTAGTCTGTCATAAAATTTATCCCAGGACAAAATGTTTTATGTAAAAATAAAATCTGTATCGAGAACAACAGTTTCATTTTCTGTTGAAAAATTAACTTGTGTATTATATTGTTGAAATTAAGGAAAAAATGTAAATATACCTTTTTTCCTCCTTCTGATTTCTATGTATCTAATGTAGTATTATTTTAAATTAGTGTTTATTATTAATTAATAATTTTAAAAAGTATTTTGTAAGTGATTTTGTTGCAAACAACGGCATAAACAGGAGTAATTGATCTATAAATTGTAGATTTGTATATGCACCGCATAACTTGTAAGTGAATAATATCTGTGTTTAATAATGGCAAAAAAACACTTGTGATAATGGCAAAATTTCGTGTGATTCCACAATGATTTTTCACAGCTTTTGTGTAAATTAGCAAAGAGAAAATTATGTATGTGTATAGCCTTTTATAAATAATTATATTCTGACTCTTCATTAATTTATGTCTCGTGCAAGGTTGGGGGAAAAGGGGGGAATTTAATTTGCAACAACGCTGTTAAGCTTGTAGTTTAAACATAATTTTTAAAGGAGAGTATGTAAAGTTTATTACATCAATTGTTAGAATGTATAATGTATTTTTAATTAAAAATGTTTCTCTCGATTAATTCTTTCGTCGTCTTTTAAATACAGTTTTAAAGAAAACGCAAATATTTCAAAATTTGTATTCATTTTGTGTGTAAGAAACACCAGAAGGAATTTTTATATGCTTAGTTTATATTAGGATTTGTAACTCTATATCAATGTTAAGGAAGGAAAGAAGAGAAAAAATTTATATATATATATCTTACGATGTCTTTTATTGACACATCGAAAATATTTTCACTCGTCCTTGTGTCAGGCCACTAGACAGGAAGTCGTTTAGCTCTCCCACTACTTCTCATTTCGTAACATTTCCTGTTCTTAATTTACAGCCGTCGTCTTGGTTTGGCATAGTTTCTTACAGCATCAAACTCTCTCAAAATACATATATATTCTCTTTTTCTATTGTTAAATATTCTCTTCAATTTACTCGATTTAATAATACATCATACATCAATTGAATCTACACACCAAATATATTGTTCCGCCCTTCTGTAATTGAAGAGGAAACGAGGCATTTTCTGTGGGGGGAGGGAGTTCGACTGTTTTCGTTGTAACGTATTTACTCGAAATCCTCGCCATCTACTAGGGATGGCTTATCTATCAATGTTCAATAAACACCGAGACAACATCTGCTTCCGGACTATGACCCTTGGGAACGGACGTAGTCAGACCGGGGTAGGAAAGTTGAAGGGATGGACTATCCCATTAATGTCAATCGTAATAGCCACTTAGCGTCAGCCACGATGGCATCTGCTCCGATTCGTCTATATTGGATTTCTATGGAGATTTACGTTATCCCAATTAACCCATTAGCATTGTCGATACGCCACGTTTTTCTTCGAATCGTCTAATTTACTTCCATTTTCCTCGTGAAGGAATTGGGTAATAAGTCCTGTTCTTCTTTAATTCCAGAAAAAAAAACTGCGTGTTCTAATTTTGGTATTTGCGTATGCTCTACGTCAATAAACACTAACGTTTTCTATCGCCCTCCCCACTTTTGGACGAGTTCAAACGTTTGTTTAATCTATAGTAAAATTCTATTGTTAACCGATTTTAAAACCGGATTGGCGTGAGGTAATTTGTTAATGAAACAATTTCCTTGTGTTTTACGTAAGGAGTAAACCGTTAATGTTATATCTTTGTTTTCTCCAGTAGTAAATCGAGGTCATACAAACACGTATATATATGTGTGTGTGTGTGTGTATACATATACATGCATACTGTATATAGAGGGAGGCAAGAAACGAACACGATCCCAACAGAAAAGCTCTTCCCATCTGTTTCACATGAATGAGGTTGTAATACGAGACCTCTCTTACTATCTGTGTTTGCCTCTACGAGGTCAACTCGCAGAAGTTCGTCGTTTGTCATATAAGGTTTGGTCTCTTAATCAAACCCGTATATATCGTCGAAGACAGACTTTTTTTTTTCTTTTTACCGTTAGACGAACTCGTCTTAACGCCAGTCACGTGTTACGGTTTAAGTGTGTAATTCCGTTGATCCTTCAAACTAAACTAAGAAGTCGACCCACCCTCCCTAAACTCGATTTTTAGGTAGTGAATTGCTGGCAGCAGTTTTCGTTTTTCGACCATTAGTGTGACTAACATTTAATTGCTAGGTACGACTTGACCATTTCTCTTGTTGTTATCTTCGACTTCCATCGATAAACAGGGCAATAACTCGTCGTCCCGTGTGTGCGTGGATCTCATTTCGTTGAAGAGTAACATCTAACAGATTGTACACTTGAAATATTTCCGTTATCTTCCTTCATTTTATTTCTATAACACGTCTCATCAACAAGTAACACTTGATAAATTGTCTGGCTTATTCGCAATAATCCAGCATTTTTTTCTTTTTTACACTTAAATTCCATTTATATTTTCCCATACTCCTCGTTACACAGTGCCATAAGAACTTAGTCATCCCTACATTCTGGAAATAATTTGCTGCGCAGATTACACTTAGAAAATTGCTTCTCATTTGTTTCACTCGTGACCACGAATTTTCCACGTTCGGGGAAGTGAAACGTCGGAGCCCCAGAAGAAACACAGTAAGAAAACACAGTCTTTCGGTCGAAACGACTTCGTGGCAATCTGTTCCACACGACTCAGTTGTGTGAAAATTGTAGGTAATTCCGTGAGAAAAAAATATGTATTTCGTACATATTCTATTTTTACAGCTTTTTAACACCCGTACGTAACGTTAAATCGGGGCAGAGTACGTAGAAAAACAAGTGGATATAAAGTTTATTAGAAGCGGGTCAATGTTTTGCTCTTGATAAAACTAACACGTAGTTGGATTATTCTAAGTGGGATTAAGCACTATGATTTGACAGTTATATTAATATCTACCTTATCTATTCTACCTACTACGCGGAAGTTTGAGGAAATAACTACAGGTGGCACCGATGCCAATCAGCTTACACAGGGCGGTCTTACTGGCGCCAACACACGAGAAATTACGTGATGTCTTGTTCCAAGGTCGTTCATTTGATGAATTTTCGCTGTAGGCAGTCTTTTATGTTTTAACATCCTTCATTCAATAGCTAGTGGCCAATTGATGAACTCTCTTTTATCATAAAATAAACTTCCAACATCGTCCGCCCTTAAAATGCATCAATTATTTTTCTGTATTCTCCCTCCACCAAAAAATATTACACTTGCCACGTGTGGGAAGATTTTAGAAGACACCTGAATAAACAACACGTGCTATCCAGATCGTAGGGTCTAGTTTGTTGTTTTTTTCCCCGATTCGATCTTAGACGAACTTTAGAAAAAAATCTTCTATCCCTTGTGGTAAATTAACTGTTAATTTGCAGCTGCGCGAATCGAGAAAGGTGTGTTTAATCCTATTTCCACACAAATTCCATGCTTCGAGTTTATTAATGCTTACTTTCTTGGCATTTTTACGTCGCTTCCAATTTACCTTTCTTCTCTCGTGTTCTTTCAAAATTATCCATTTATCTATCTGAAATTCTGGTCATTCCCAAATCCTTCGATACTTTTCTTACAAAAGCTGTAAATTTTCATATTCTTTCAAGTGTTTACAATGGAACACTCGGGATTTTAGTGAATTGACGATGGGCCGTTCCATCTTCAGATTCCCTCTATAAAGGTGGGAAAGGTACGAGAATAGTTTGTGTTTACGTTGTTCATTTCATTTTTGTAGGTAAAATAATATGGTGAGTAAATTATTTCCTCAGAAATAACCCGATAAAAAAATAAATATTTCCCGTACGGATATGAAAATAATTGAGGATGCTAAGAAATTAATAGATTAGGATGTCCTGTTTAGATATTTTTCTCCGTTTTTCTCGTATGTAAATTGTAGTTTGAAAAGGAAAATAAAATTTCGGAATTTAATAATTAACGTAGGCCCACGGACGAGGAGGAATCGAGTAGTTGCACGTGCAAAACCATTTCCCACAGCATCTAGGCGTGGGAAGGTCTGCCACATGCCCGGCCACACCTCACACCGACAGATTTACACACATGGTAAGACTGCGGGAGGCACGAAGCGCACGAGGCATTTCCTGCTACCGGTGCGAGCGCTTAATGCGATCGCTTCATTACGAAAACCTACCGGAATAAAGGGCCAAGGTAAATCGATTTTCGTAGAAAATAAAAAATTCCCTACACGTCTACGCAACTTACACGATTTACGACAATTCGGGGGTGCGAAGAAAACGGAGGAGAGTCGACAACATCTGTAACGTTGATAAAGCGTGGGAAGGACGGTATAACATACCGCAAGAAATCACGCGTAGTTTCGAGACCAGATGTTTTCCCGTCATCCGAGCACGTGTTTTGAATTTTAGGCCAATCCTTATTTTCCTACCAAAAGGAAAAAAGTGTGGGAGAGAGAGACATTTGCCTCCGAACTAACTCGTTACTTACGCTCGAAACTAAATTTAATTCGCCGAATAACTCAAGTTTACGTTACGGGAATTTGAAATTTAAAATAAAGCCGCTAACCAACAAAATGGGCGATAGTTACGTAATTTGCATCTATTTAACGCGCAGTAATTATCTCCCCTATGATCGATAGAAGTCGGACGATGGTCGCAACTAGATAAGGGCTGCTTTTAATTACGAAAATTAATTAAAATTGTTTAAAATATTTAAATTAGTTTGGTCTGATGGAAATTTCGCAACCGTTTTAAACACCGATAAAGCATTTAATTATTTATGTTTTA